AAATTCAAATATTCTCTATGAATCCTCCGATTTTTCAACTGTTACAACTACCTTATTCAGTTTTATTTATCGAAAGGAGGAATTATCATGGAACGTTCTGAGGTCAAGTTGTGGTTTCCTGATAGGTTATGAACTTGTATTTCACCAGCTAGAATATTTTCCAGGGTTTACCGAACACCCTGTATAAATACTTTGGTGATCACAATCATAGATTGCGAGAAAAATATGGAAAACATAGTCCTACATTAAAAAAATATAATTTGTGGTTTGTCACGGTTTCAGGAATCAACCTGTACAACTTCTGATAAGGGTCGTGGAAAGGCCTTATAATTGCATTCAACTTCCGTATAATATAATGTTTTCTTTCTCGATGAAAAATATCACAAATATAAAGATGGGCCTCTTCGATGGGTAACCCATAACGCTTCCGCCAAAAACTAGAAAGTAGCATTATTCACAAAGTATTTTGATAATGCGACTCCACCAAATATTCAAACAGTGATTTTCCACCAAATATTCAAAAAGTGAGATTCCTCCAAATATTTGAACGGTCAAATTTCACCAAATATTCAAGCGGTGATAATTTATTCAATTCGATTAACTTGTGGTCCATATTTGAATATTCGATTGGTTGTGTTTCAGGGTATGGAAGAAGTCCTAGTAACTGAATTAGGCGAGCTTGTATTCAAGGAGCCAAAAGGAAACCAACCAATTGTTTCAGAAAAAAAAATCATTCGAAGTCATCTGTCTATTAGTCTAAGGCAGTATGGCGAAAAGAGCAGAACATTCATTTTTCTATATAATAATAATAATCATTTATTGTCATTTATGTCAAAGTCATGAGGAGAAAAATTCTCCTACAGTATGAAATCATTTTTCAAGTAAAAAACTTCTTAGGTTTCGTTTGAACAAAGAAATGGATACAATATTTTTCGAAACATCAGGTAAATGGTTGAACATTTTTGATCCTATATGGTTTGGAGCAACAGAAGTTATTTTACACCAATGGCAGAAAAAGGGTTTGAGTATGAAATTTGGATTGGGTACTCATTTACTACAAGAAAGTACCCTTGATAACACTCGATTTACTCTCATGGTTTTTATAAAGTTTGTATTTCAATAATTATTATTATTGTTTATGTTCTAAAATTACTAAAATGCAAATTTTGTCAAAACCATGAGAGCAATCGAGTCTTATCAAGAGTACCTTTTTCAAAGTGAATGAGTTGCGCAATCTAAATTTCATACTCAAACTCCTTTTCTCCCATTGGCGATAAAAAAAAAATTAAAAAATCAAGTTCTACGCCTATGTATTATTATCGGACAAAATTTTGACACCAATTTTTTTGCCACATAAAACTCTATCAATATACCAAATTTCAGCAAAATCGCATATGCCACTTTAAATTTATATGGGGAAAACGATTTAAAAATCGTAACTTCAAGGCCCCCCCGGAGCCCAAACGATGCAACGCTACGCGTCGGGAGACAACACAACCTGGAGCTAAAATCTACTACTTTTCCCCTTGTATAATAAATAACTATTTTCACCATTGTGGAGTGCCCCAAAGACACACCATACCTCAGTCTGGAAACCATTTGAGCATGATATAAAGTCAATAACTGTTTTTTTTTTAAGCAAAAATGTAGATTCATGGAAAGATATGTTAGGGAACACAATTTCGAAATTAACTGAGAACATTGAGGTTTCCAGTCAAGACACTCATCGAAGTTAATGCCCAAAAATTTCATGGGGTCACTGGTGTTCCTCAGAGTCTGGTTATTATAAGGAAATAGAAGTGGTTCAATAGCATTCTGGCGATGCGGAATACATAGAAATTCATTTACAAAAAGTTTGTATCCCCAAACGGCATTGAAAATGGCTTTTTTCTGTCTAGACAGAAAAAGGTTGTTGCTATGCAATGTTCCAAGTAATTTGAATAAAATTGGTAATCAAAATTGGCAGACATTGGGTGAACCTGATGGAGTTTTCAATAAAAAAATTACACGAAATTGGTTTTATAACATTTGGTGAAAAAAAGTATGTTTCACACGGCAGAAAAATGTAGATTGACTGCCTTATTGGCTGAATTCCTAGCCCCGCTACACTCGGCTATGAACTATCAAATAAATATTCCACTCAGGATAACCCATAACGCTTCCGCCAAAAACTAGAAAGTAGCATTATTCATAATATATTTCAATAATGCGACTCCACCAAATATTCAAACAGTGAAATTCCACCAAATATTCAAAAAGTGAGATTCCTCCAAATATTCAAATGGTCAAATTCCACCAAATATTCAAGAGGTGATAATTTATTCAATTCAATCAACTTGTGGACCATATTTGAATATTCGATCAGTTGTGTTTCAGGGTATGGAAGAAGTCCTAGTTAGCTGAATAAAACGATAGCTTGTATTCAAGGAGCCAAAAGAAAACCAATTGTTTCAGAAGAAAAAATCAAAATAAAAGTCATCTGTCTAGTTATCTAAGGCAGTATGGCGAGAAGAGTAGAACATTTATTTTTCCATATGCAGAAGACATGGAAATTTATTGACAAAAAGCTCGTTTTCTCCAAACGGGCATAGAAAGTGGCTTTTCTCCGTCAGGCTATGAACTATCAAATAACTATATTATTATATCCCACTGAGCTAGAGCTATATTTCGAAGATGACATAATCCTTACCAGAATACATTTTTGAGTTCATTAAATTGTTTTCCACTTGTGCAATAAATGAAGTTTCAAGCATTTTATCACCAACTAGCAGACCTCGCAAATGTTGTTTTGCTATATACATTATTAATATAATATATTTTTTCAGTTCAATATTCATCAGGACACTTATTATTTTATTTTCTATTTCTTTTTAGTTTCGCTATCTATATATATAGTTTTCCAAACTACCATTTATTTCAACTTCTTGTCAGTTCACTTGAATTTCCCAATTTTGACGAAAGAATCATAATATCCGACTGCTAAAACCCCAGATGAAAATTTTGAATCGAATCGGAACATAATTATACAAAACCTGTCAGCAATATATATTGGATCTACCATCTTGAATTCCCTAATTTTGACGAGGGAATCATAATTTTTGATCCCGAAAACGCCCACTTAGAATAGAATTGGTATATATAAAATTACAAAAGCTCGTCCGGTATACTGGTTCCACCGTCTTGAATTTCCAAATCCCACACTTTCCAAATTGTGACAAAAGAATCATAATCTCCGATCCCGAAAACACCTAGATAACAATTTTGAAGAGAGTCAGATCATAATTCATAACACACTCGTCCGCCATCTTGAATATCCTAATTTTGACGAAAGAATCATAATCTCCGACCCCGAGAACCACCAGATACCAAATTTGAATAAAATCGGAACTTAATTACAAAATCTGCCATTTTGGATCCGCCATCTTGAACTTCTTAATTTTGACGAAGGAATCGTAATCCCCGATCACGAAAACACTAGCGTCTAGCGCAAGGAGCAATTCCGATAAACAATGTAGTGGGAGAACCGCGCCAAGCGAGACGCGGACGCGGGCAAACATCAACTGTGCCCATCACCTATAGCGACGCGCGGCTGACAACACATGTTATTAAAAGTCTAATAACACAAAACTAACACTTTGAATACTGATATGAGGATTTGGAGATTGAGGCCATAAAATGAAAAAATAAAATTGGGATACCTATACCTATTATAGGTATTCATAAAATACAATATTATTCTTTAAGCATTTAGGTTTACATCATGAATAAAGAAACTGAATATCTGAATACATTTTTTCTTTAATTAATTACTAATAATAAGACTAGTGATATAATGGCAAGTAAGTTGATATATTGTCAATATATTTGTGGTATCGTAATGGTATAACCCATAATCAGTGATAGAATAATGTACAGAATGTATTATTCCATTTGAAAATCCAAAATTGGTAGATGGTCAGAATGACGTGGTCATCGCAGAGAGTATCTGGAGAAAATGTGAAGTTCTATATACAGTATGATGCAAATGTATGGAATAAATTCATTATTTCAGAAATGGGCGACATTTGAAGATATTCCAAAAACACGTGAGTTTTAATTTTTGAAACCTCATCTCATGACATTCATATGAGAGATGTTACGTCACCGGTGTTGGAGTAATGACGTAATGGACGGTTTTTTTAAATACAAACAGGGGTCATGTGACACCTCGTTTGAAAGGTCTACTGATCGTCTATCCAATAGTCAAAATTTTGCAAAAGAAGATTGAAATTAAAATGGATTATCATTTGGTTAACTGAATCTTGCAGAGATCTTCTACTGAGAATTGAACATCGAAGGGTCGTCTAGTTGAAAAAATACATCGATAAAAAAGTTCTGAACTCTACTTTTTGGATTTTTTTTGGAAGTCGTCTTGTTTTGAAATGAATTTATTCCATACATTTGCATCATACTGTATATATATTCCTTCGCTCCAACGTTCGTCGGGCATGTCGATAGGTGGCATAGGTGATGTTTGTCCGCGTCCGCGTCTCGCTTGCGCGGTTCTCCCACTACGTTGTTTATACAAATACCTCCTTGCGCTAGACGCTAGTCACGAAAACCCCTAGGTACCAATTTTGAAAAGAATCGGAAAGTAGTTTCGGAGTCTATTCAATACATACAAACCTTGATAGGTACTCAAAGATACAAACAAACAAACAATCAAATCTTTCCTCTTTATAATATTAGTATAGATAAACCATTGTTGAGTTGATTCTCTGTGCTCAACATCATCTTATAATTCTTGAAGCGAGTTTACTATTTTCACAATAAGTATATTTCTCTTCTGATAGACCATCATGAACCCTATCCGGATTTTTCAAAGATGAGTGTATATATAGTTGCTCAAATTAACCTTTTCTTCATGAAGCATACAAATTTGATACATATCATTCCGTTCTGCTCCACTTCTTATTTTTTCAATAACTTTGTACATCAACAAGAAATGAAACTCAAAACATCGTAAATGAAATCATTATTGTTCTTATCTTACAAAAAAAAAATACAAAAAACAATAACCACAAATCCACCACATTACACCCCTCTATTGGGCAGATCTTTCACTTTGTAAATTCGAACCAGCCAATGTTCAGTAGTATAAGCTTCCTCTAAAACGTCCAATTCGAAATCTTTATTACCAATTTCAGCACCTCTCACGCGGTCGTATCCAGGAGGTTTTCCACCTAAAAAAAACAAGGCAATTGATAGAACTCATTTTTAAATGGAGGACGATGTAAACATTGCATAGTATGTACTGTTTTTCATGGATTTGAGAATGGAAAGAAACGCAGCAAACAGTAAAAAATGTGAAAATTTTACATTTTTCCTGATTTAAAGTTTCTAATATTCGGTCGAATACCGAATATTTGGCCCAATACTGAATATTCGGCCGAATACCTATCACCATCATTCGGTCAAATATTCGGTAATCAGCAAAAACCTTCGGTATTTGGTCGAATATTCATTATTTGACCAAACATCACAAATATCTAGTCTAATATTTTGTATTCATCGTATATCACCTGATATTCGGTGGATCACTTATTATCTAATCCAATATTCAGTAATAGGCCAAATATTTTAAATTCAGCAAGAAACTCAGGTATCTGAACTCACCTTTTATATAATAAACTGTTTTGCTGAATATTCGGTCATTGCAAATTTTGGTTTACCAAATATTATCACACGATTTTTTTCATCCGCCTATCAGTCAAATGACAAAAATGTGGAATATCCGACCTTTATTAGTTGATTAGTCATTCTGCCACATATTCTATATTGGCCAAATATGTTGTTACCATTGATCGGCATATTGCTGTGCCGAATATTCTTCCAGCAAAACCATATTTCGACCATTATCTGACCGAATACCAGTAGTTTGGCCGAATACTTATTATACGGCCAAATATTCACTATTCGGCCAAATACTCGGCAACCATTGTAATTCGATATTTGCTAAATAAATGAACAAAAATTCGCATTGTCATGTACCGGACGATTCAGAATTTTACAATGAAATTTACGAAGATAATTCTGCCGCCATCGTGTGACTGGATCACTAAATATGAAAAAAAAACATATCACGTGGTTTTTCTCACCTTCTGTATAGACTTGTCCAAATCTATAATAACACATTTTGTACATCAGACAATTCAATAGGGTTTGAGAACCCTCTTTGTCTACCCTGAATTCTCCGTTGGGCGAATAGTAATCCCATTCCTTGATATGGGCTCCCCTGTCAGTACTACCACCTGCAAAAAATCAACTAACTAATCAAAATTGTCACGGTGTCTACTGCCAAATATTTGGACTCTATGAGACATCCTTTATAAGGAAGAATACAGTTCGTAAGATTATAACTTCCAAAATGAATTAACCGATTTCTATTCGGGTTTCAGATTTTAGAAGCTCATTTCATTGTTTTGAGAATCATGAATTAGAAAAACGAAAAAAAAAATGGTAAATCAATATTTCACAGGGCGATAAATGGCACACTGCAAACTGTCTCGTAAATATGATCTTTTTTGTAAAATGACACAAGAATGGTGTGTTGTACTTTTGAAACTCTTCACCGGAACATCTTCACAACTGTGAGTATTTATCACAATCTCTTTGGTCAATAATAATGCCTGTGAATGAGAAGAATATTCTGAATAGTGCAATAAATCAATAAAAACAGAAAACCATTTCGAGATAACATGAAACTTCAAGATACATTATGAGAAAACCAAACATTTCTGGACAGAATAGGATCACTTCAAATTCGATGTGAGTTGGTAGTGTGCCATTCAACGCCCTGTGGAATATTAATTCCGTTTTTTCATTTTTAAAATCATGATTCTGAAGATGATAAAATGATCTTGTGCAATCTGGAAACCGGATTGAAATCGGTTAATTTTTGTTCAAGTCATAAATCTACGAATTTGAACAGAAATTTCTTGTGTCCCACTTCAAGTGCGGAGTACTATACTGCCGTCATAAGCACAAAGGGCTTATTCCACATTGATGACGACTTCCACAAAATAACATTTCGTATATTCACGAATATTCCATTTCTGCGACTAGTAATTATTCGTATTGAGGTGCGAAAAAACATTTTCATAACTTTTTTTCACAGAGCATATAGTTGATGATAACTGTTGAACCGAAATTGAATCAGCATGTTCACTCTTGTTTAATAATAAAGACGTGCAATTATTCCAAGGACAAGATGACGCAAATGTTGAATACTTAAGTATAAAAGGCACATCTACATACTTTTCAATCATCAGATAAGCCTAGTATGTCTTAGTGTTGGGAGATGGGCGGTTTCTCCCTAATAAATGACATATGAAGTGCATTTAAGACCTTATTTAAAACTCGATTTTTTGTTTCTAAAATATGTAGATAGTTCCAAAAACCACTAGGAATGATAGAGGAGCATTCGGATGGAATGATTTTTGCCCTTAGGCCCTTTTTGCTGATAACGGCATTATGAACAACAAGCGTGGTTAAAGTGAATCAAAGTCTCGACCTATTCTGACCATCCACAGGAACTTATTGATATCGTCTGACGAATACCCGGTGAGACCGCCGAATATCACCAAAACATAATTGACATCGAGCTCTCGCATTATCTCGTAGGCCTTCTCCTCGCTGCTCGCCATCGCCTGTCCCACTCGGCTGATGTGCGTGTTGTTCCACGTGTTGTTGTCCACGAGGATCGTCCTGTTGGCCATGGCCGTTATCTGGTAGCCGTAGTCCCACCAGGACATGATGCGCGCGTCTTCGGGAGTGTTCATCTTTAGCCTGAAAGAGGAGAACCAGGATGTGACGAATTTTTTGCCGAATATTCGGTGTTAGGCCTAATATACGGTATTAGGCCGAATATTCGGTATTCGGCCAAATATTCGGTATTCGGACAAATATTCGGTATTTGACCGGATATTCTATACCCAATATACGGCCAAATACTCGGTATACTGTCATATAATCAGTGTTTGGCCAAATATTCAGTATTCGAACGAATATGTGATATTCGGTCAAATATTTGGTATTCGATCGGATAGTCTATCCACAATATTCGGCCAAATAATCGGTATTCTGCCAAATAATCAGTATTTCGTCAAATATTTGGTATCGATCGAACATACCATCATGATTATTCGGTCAAGTATTTGATAATTGGCCATGTTTGCTGTCATATAATCAGTGTTTGGCCAAATATTCAGTATTCGAACGAATATGTGATATTCGGTCAAATATTTGGTATTCGATCGGATAGTCTATCCACAATATTCAGCCAAATAATCGGTATTCTGCCAAATAATCAGTATTTCGTCAAATATTTGGTATCGATCGAAAATACCATCATGATTATTCGGTCAAGTATTTGATAATTGGCCATGTTTGCTGTATTCGGACAAATATTCGGTATCCTGCAAAATAATCAGTATTTGGTCAAATATTCAGTGTTTGACCGAATGTTCCACCCTCAATATCCGATTAAATATTCGGTATGTAGTGGAATACTCACAGTTTGATCAAACATTCCATCCATATTATTCGGCCAAATATATGGTAGGTACCGGGTGACCAGTTATATTCTGACCCATTTCAAATGCTTATATCTCTGAAACCATTCAAGTTATCGTTGTGCAGTTTGGATTAGTCTATTTTGATATTTTTCAAGTTTTTTTTACAGGTTCACCTTCTCTCTTGAACATCCGATTCTACCGGAAACAAACTAGCCATTATTCAGGTATAGGGCAACTTTTTTATTTCATTGAATCACCCAGTATATTTTTGCACATTCAGAAAGACTGGTCCTTTCTCTTTCTAACAATGTATAACAAGTTATGTTTTCTCAGAAAACTATCAGAGTTATAACTGTTTGAAACAACTACTGCATGTGGAATGGTTTAATGAGATTTTGCAATGTAACCAAAGTCGTCTTTGGAAATCCTGATCACAACACATGAAATGCCAAATTAGATGTGTCAAATGAAGATTGTCGAGCATTTGTACTTTCTTCGAGTTGAAAAAATGTTTACTTTGACTGAAAAAGCAAATGAACTCATCATAAATCTGCATCAGATTTATACTCAATATACGGTAATTCAGCATTTCAGGATAACATCCTAATATGCAGTAGATGCTTCAAAGAGTTATAACTCTGATAGTTTTATATAAGATGGCTACAATCTTAGTTTTCTAAGAAAACATAACTTGTTATACATTGTTAGGAAGAGAAAGGACCAGTCTTTCTGAATGTGCAAAAATATACAGGGTGCTTCGATGAAATAAAAAAGTTGCCCTATACCTGAATAATGGCTAGTTTGTTTCCGGTAGAACCGGAAGTTCAAGAGAGAAGGTGAACCTGTCAAAAAAACTTGGAAAATATCAAAATAGACTAGTCCAAACTGCACAACGATAACTTGAATGGTTTCAGAGATACAAGCATTTGAAATGGGTCAGAATATAACTGGTCACCCGGTATTTATCCAAATATTCAGTATTCCGCCAAATATTCGTTATTTCAATTAATATTCTATCTACGATAACAGGCAAAATATTCGGTACAGTGTCAAAAAATGTATTTGGAGAAATATTCAGTGTTCGACCGAATTTTCTAGCCCCAAGTGTTCAAATATTCCTTATTTGACCGTGTATCTATCATCAATATTTTACCGAATAGCCTTCAAATTCAGTATTCGGTCAAATATTCAGTAATCAACTGTTCAGCCTTTCGATTGGTCTATATAATCCAAATATCTGTATGCCGAATATCTCGGAATATTCATTCTGCTGAAATATGTCACCTAAAATTTGGTCGATTATTAGTTATTCAATCAAATTTCCAGAATATTAGACAATTCTTTGACTAATATTCTGACTCATATTTGGTGACCACATCAGTTTGGCCGAATATTTTTTCGGCTGTATAGCATATCCACTGATATTGAGATGAGCGATATCAATTATTTGGCCAAATATGAATATTTAGCGGAATACGCTTTTCCTATGATATTCTGTGAAAATTCGGAATTGAGTGGAAGTTGACTATACTGTTATTTAATAAACGGTATTCGGTCAAATACTGTGTTTTCATTGTATTAAACTCGGTGATCGGGTCAATCGTAATACACCGTTCAGCTGAATATTTTTTTGGCCTGAATTTTGGTTCACAAAATGTTACCACCCGAGCCTAACTATTTGGTATTTGACCAAATATGTTGATCCCAATATTCGGTGTCAGTGATATTTTTCATAATTGGCCGTTTCACTTTATTTCAGATGATGGGAATATTGGACTGCTGAATAGTCTTTTAGCTGATTCATATCCCGACTGTTATTTATGGTATTAGGCCAAATATTAGTAGTTCGGCCAAATTTTCACTATTCGGCCTAATACTCTCCAACCGTTGAAATTCGATATTTGTTGCATAAATAAATATTCCTTCTTTCATGTACCGAGTGATTCAGAGTTTTGCAATAAAATTCGCCACTCACCAATAATATGCCTCCCTAAAATCATCAAAGATAATCCTGCCGCCATCATGTGATCTAGCACTTAGAACAATACTAGGCGAGCTATAAGCTTCTGAAGTGACCCAAGTGCAATGAAAAGTGTAGGAGATTAATAGAACGGTCACGACTGTCACGAACATCGTGGAAATCTCGTTTTTCAGCATCATATTGGCCTCCTGTTTTTTGTGCTTTTTGTGCTCCACCTGTTTATTCGGCGGCTCTACATTTTTCATGAATTTTGTGAGCAAGTGGGATATTGTGATACCACTGAGGATGCACATTACCGGGGCCAAGACTAGCATAAGACGTACCATCACGCCCTAAAAATGTTTCCAAAGAAAATCCATGTTGGCCATATAACAGGGTTGTCAAAAAAAAACGGAATTTTGTTTTTGAATGATAACTTTTTTATTATTGGACCGATTCCATTGATTTTGGTCTTGTTTGAAAGATAATTGAACAAGACAAAACGTCAACTTCACATTTTTCAAAAAAAATGGCGGACACGCCTAAACTTGGTCAAAATTTTAAACTTGCTGGAACTTTTTTGAATTGCACTGTATATTTTTGCGTATGATATTCTGAAAGCGTGTACTTTTGTGAATAGAACCAGAGGTCAAAGATACAAATCCGTTGAAAATTACCTGATATATGACAGGATAAAGACAGGTTTGTTCTCACATTTTGGTTCCAATTTTCTTTGCAATTTTGCAAAATCAAGTTGGTGAGTAACCACAGAAATAACAAACATCGCTTGTCTTCTGAATTATTGACGTGAATTAATCTTTTCGAAGGGTTTATATTGAAGATGGTGCTTTCCAATGACGATAAATTTTGTATCAAAACTTTGATTCTGAGATTCTACAACAATTTCCTGCCATGCGGTTTAAAAAGGCACAATATACTTCTTCAAAAAGTTTAATTTGACGCAATCCATTGCAAGACGCGATGGAAGTGGGTGAGAAGTGTAAGAACAGATGTTAGTGAGCTATTGTTAATTTATATGTCTTATGATTCACCCAAAACTATTGTAGGAAGATATTCTGCAAGTTTTGAATATGGCAGTCAGCCCTGAAAGAGCGCCTGGGACCAGCATAAGCGTTCCGCAAATTGCCAGGAGATGTGAAATTCCTCGTAATTCTATCATTCAAACTCACTCCTGAACTTAAAGACGGAAGATTGCTGAGATGCAGAAGCCTTTTAAATAAATTTGGAGCCAGAAGAGATATTGCAAAAATTTGGTTCACTGATGAATATTCACAATAAATCCCTTGAGAAATGCGCAAAATGATATATTGTGTATACCTTATTTCCACCAACGGAAACGGCAGACACTGTTGAACCGTCTATTTAGGGAAAGAGGTAAGTTTAGCAAATACTCAATGGTTTCTGCTGGTGTTTTGAGAAACCCTAAATTTGATTTGATTTTGTGTGTCTTCCTACTTCTTGATCATTTCAATTAGGTATTGAGAACATATTTTTAGGATGTCACACAAGTGCGCATACCCTTAATTATTTGAGAGCGAACGGTACCGATTTCTTAGAACCTCAAGAATGGCCTCCAAATAGTCCTGATTTGAATCCTCGCAACTGTTTTCTGTGGGGTGATTTGGCGGCCGGGGTAAACAGAAATGGAAGAACATTCGAAAATGTCGAAGAGCTTCGCCTGTGAATTCTTCAATGTTGGGGTGAAACCACATTACATGTGGAATTGGTAGTTGAAGCTCATGGGAACCATATAAATATTAAAAGAAATTTTTAATTTGTTTTTTGTGTTTAATCTTTTTCCCCTTTGTTGTAGGTTGGAGTAAATGAAGTTATTCGTTATTTTTCAAACAAAAAATACAAAAAATCCGTTATGCAAGAAAATTGGAATCCAGATCTGAAAACACATGCACCTGTCTTTATCCTGTCATATATCAGGTAATTTCCAACGGATTTGTATCATTGACCTCTTGTTCTATTCACAAAAGTACACGCTTTCAGAATATCATATGCAAAAATATACAGTGCGACTCAAAAAAGTTCCAGCAAGTTTAAAAGTTTGATCAAGTTTAAGCGTGTCCACCATTTTGTTTTCTGGAAGAATTTGAAAAATATGAAGCTAGCGTCTTGTCTTGTTCAATTATCTTCCAAACAATACCAAAATCAAAGAAATTGGTTGAATATTAAAAAAGTTATTATTTAAAAACAAAATTCTGGGTTTTTATTGGACAACCCTATATATTTTTTTTCTTCACTTTACTTATGAAAGTTTCTCCAAACTTACTGCAAAATAAATACTGGTAATACCATATAAAATCATGAAAATATTGGCATCAGTTAGTTGTTTGAAGCAGAAATATAACCCAGCTGGGAACAGGAACACCAAAATTTGTAGGTCAAAGTAAAATGAACTCCATGAGGTAGGTTGATGCTCTGAAACACTGGCAATTATTGGAATGTGATTTTTTGCATATGAAGGGTCCAAAAGAGAATAAAATCGACCAGTCCATGGTGAAATTTTGCCAGAAAGGGTCAAAACTGTACCCACTGCCACTGCTAAAATACCCCCAGCATAAATAAGGAAGGTGTACAGTGTTTCAAAGTCTGATTTTGAAAGTTTGCTCCGGATGTAATCCACAAATGCCACTATTTGGCATAAACCAAACACACCTAGTGCCTGAAAAAAAAAAGCTGAATATCAGTATAGCTGAGGATTATACACTTTGTTCAAAACAAAAATCTCTCATGCATTTTCTTACTTACCAACATATGTTCAGAACTTTGTACAGGTTGAAACCCAACAAAAGATATTTGCATAGATAGAATAGTACCAACACAATAAAGAGTACTATATGCAACATAAATGCGATGACCAAATCTACCAGTTGCCATCAAAGTTAAAACATGTAGGGGAATCAGGTTAATCAAAAATACATAACCACCCCATGATGACACCTAAAATATGAAGCTCTGTAGATTTGGTGTGATGTTATGCAGTATAAGCCAAGATAGAATAAACAACAGGTTCATATTATACCTACAACCTAGTTTCAGATTCTGGAGTTATATTATTTTATAACCCATACTGAAAAAAAATAGTGAATCACACCTGGTGTTCCTTCTACCTTCAAACACATACTGCATATGTAGAATGCTGAAGCTTCTTCTGGTTTTATCAAGAATAATATTTACCATGTAAAAATATGCCAAGGCACTAAGTGTTCCCCACAAAATTGTCCCAGTTTTAACAGCTTTTATCCATGTATAATAAGTTAGCAACATACAAAATATAGCAATCCCTTCATTGTCATAGCTGCCAGCTACAGACCTACTGATATAACCAGGTACTATGGCTACAAATGCAGCAGCAACTAAACCAGCTCCTGCATTTTTCACTTCTTTTGTGAGCAGATATGTGATGATAGTGGTAAAAGATGAAAATAAAGGGGCTAAGAAAACACAAACATTACGAATGTCAATGGTAATATTAAGCAGCCAGCATAAGTGGTATAAAGCAGCTGAAGTGACCATCAAACCAGGATATATGGTTCCTAAAAAAGTCATAAGAAATACACAGTAGAATATTTTTAATTGGATATCATACCACCGATAATTCTGCCTAAAGGGTACCATGCTCTGTCATCAAACCAATTATGGAATGAATAAAATCCTTGCTCAGTTAAATACTTTGTTGTACGATAGTTGAAGTAGGGATCAAATTCGTGAATGACACTTTCAAACCTAAGGACGGAGAATAACCGTGTGGCAAATGCTGAAAAGTTTAATGATGCAGTGGATGAAAGTTGATGCATTTGATGAACTTACAGAGTATTGCCGCTAATGTAAGTATGGAAAGAGTGAGTAGAGTTTCCTGTTTTTCAGCATTCTGAGGATGAACTGTCTTCTTTCCAAAGCCCAGCATAGTTGGAATTTGTGGATTAACACTGAAAATGGTTATAAATGGGCGTTATTACCTTTTGAGAAAAAAGTGGGGTTATATCATTAGATTCAGATTTTCACCACTCACGAACTATTTCAACTCTACCTTATGATTTAGTGCAATTGATTTAGATTTATTCAGAATAATGGGAGCTTAATTTTAAGAAAAACCATCACACAAATAATAAACCGGATTTTCAAAACATTTATAACCTATTTCTCACAACACAACAATCACAACACGTCAACGTCAGCACTAGCATCTTCATTCTTCAGACAGGGTCATAGTTTTAATCATAGCGGTGGTAGGGGAACTACCGCGAGCACAGATCACTCAACGAGTGATTTATTAGGAAGGAAATAATATAAACATTTCCGGAAGCTCGGCTATGTAACGACGAGTTCTCATTTGAGTCCAAAATTTCGACTGCACCCCCAACACGATAGATATCTATAGCACCTATAAGATTTCATATTTTCTTCAAGTCTCGCACTGTGAATTTTGAGGTATCGTATCTGAGGTTTTTTTTTGTTCCATTTTGTAAAAACCACAAAACTTATATTGGATTGATCGTTTCGTTATGTCCACTCAGAATGATACATGATCATTTCTGAAAGTCTGGAGAAAATGTGAAGTTCGCAACCTCAAATATCACGATAAAATCAAGATCGAACTTCACTCAGGTAAGTTCGCTTGATCTTGTGAATTTATCTCGCTCCTTCGCTAACGAGGTTTTTGCAAGATCGCTGGGTGATCTGTGGCCGGCCTAGTGCCCCCACCACTGCAATGATTAAAACTATGACCCTGTTTGAAGAAGCCTGGAGTGTCTGGACCACCGTAGTCGGACCGGTTCAAGACAAGCGAAAAGCATAGGAGTCTGACTGCCTTGTGCGTGTTTGCACTTTCATCAACAAAGTAGGTTTGTCGTTTATCGTTTGTTTTTCTCGTGTTGTACGCTTGTATGGCCGGGTTGGCGGGAAATTTTTTCTGCATTTTGGTTATATGTTTGTGTACTTTCTGTTTGATTTTTCATTGCTGTTATGCTATGAAATATTATTTGAAAATAATATAAACACTATTTGAAGTATGGAAGTCGATCAAACAGTTTCTGTATCAAAGGTAAGTTTTTTCTATAACCTCTATGAATCCTTTACCTACTTTACCCTTCGGAGACCTTAGCAAATGCCTTTTTTTATTTCAGGGTGTTTTCGTTTTCAAAAATAACTTCAAACCACTCACAAAGCTAGTGAAATCCAAGCGAAAGCAGAAAAATGTTGTTAACTACCAAAATACAGCATTTTCATCAAATGCATGGTATCAATCCTACTCTAGTTTATGGCAAAACATTGAGGAAAAAATTGAGGTATGGTACTTGTATATTGTTATAAACTCTAATCTACTGGATTGCTATAGAAGTGTTTCTTACAGAACTTGAATAATGCAATGTTCTCCTCTGTTCTGAGTAGACTGGTGAATTTTGTCAAATCAAGTCATGACTTTGATGTTGAAGAAATCCCAACTGCAGCTCTACTAACAGGTATCAACATGCCTGACCATGCAGCACAGTTCAAATCTTTGTCAAATCAGATCAAAGAATCTGTTACTCCTCATGTAGCTTGTCTTCACAGTCAAGATTGCCAAAATATCAAATATCTAATTGAGAATATGATAGGTCAATTGGTTAAAGAAGATGAGAGTTTTTCTGATGAGGTCAGTGGAAATTTCTTAAAATCTTTGACATAGATATTTTTGTGTATTGCAATTGCATGATAAAAAACAAATTATAAACACTTACCCACCAGCTTGCCCATGTATGGGTACAAACTAAATGCAAACCATTTATTAGGACTCACTTTCTGATAGTACAAGAACACATCTGAAGAAAAGTCAACTCAACTTGTCAGTGCTTCAATGCTGGTATGAAAATATGTATCAGGAACACTCTCAAACATCTCCAAAGAAGCAGAAAACAAAGAATAAGAAGATTTTGGTAATCATCATATCTGATTTTGAGAGTTTTAATGCTGAAGTTCTACAAAAATTTATTCTGATAGCTAGCTGCTACATCAGAGTTTTACCATTTGTTTTTATTTTTGGTATAGCCACTTCTATATCTACATTACACACTTCTTTACCATACAAAGTGTCTTCAAAAATTTGTGTGAAGGTTTTCAATTCTCAACGTTCTACCTGCTATTTGAATGAGATTTTGGAAAATGTGTTTTTTTCTACATCATGCCCATTTCAGATGGGTGGAAAAGTCTTCAATTTGTTCATAGATATATTTCTGTTCTATGATTTATCTGTTAACAATTTCATTCAAAATATCAAGGTAAGCTGAATATTATTATTATTGAATCAATTACTTTCTATTTCTTATACTTCTTTGATTTCAGTATGCAATGGCAGAACACTTCTCTTATGGAAATGCCATGGCCTTATGTTCCTTTAATAAGAAAGAAACATCAGCAATAATAGCTGAATTTTCCCATGAAGACTTGGAGAATGTTAGACATTTACTGTCTTTCAGAAAACTTGTGGAAAGTGAAACTTATGAAAATCAAATCAGATTATTAACTGATGATGATTATTTTGCAAATGTATTGACAGAAGAAATTGTGAAACTTCAGAAGTACATAAGAAGGCTACATATCTTTTTGAAATGTTTGCTAATACTAGTAGAGGACTTGCCAAAAGCTCCATTAGGACAACAAGTTAGTTACATTTCAAGGGGGATTTGTGTAGCTCATTTTTATATATCAAAATAAGGCTCAGCAGTAATATAAGTAGTTTTTCTAGTACTTGATAATACTTGATACTCATGTACAAAAATAATAGTTTTACATGGCCATATAAGACTTGAGCAATACTATTACTAATCCTTGTAGTATTTGTGTATTAATAAATGTGAACTAGTATTATATTGTGGGACAAATCAAAGTTCAATGAAAAATAAGCTGCATGAATTGCATGATATCACTTGGTCATTTAGTATTCAATTTATTTTGTACTAAGATGCAAAGGAGTCTAATAGTTTAATGTTTTCTTGCTTTTCAATTACAGTTGAGAGACTTATACAGTGTGGCAACAGCTAAAAACATCACAAACAGTCCAGAGTATAAAGAATGTTTCAAGCTACTTGGTTTTCAATCAATGGAGGAACTGAGCAAAAAATTATCAAAAATATTAGACTATCTAGAAGACAAAATACTTTTCAAACATGAGAATAAAATGAAAGATTTTTATGAACAGCTTGAAAGTTTTGTAGACAGTATGAATAATTTCAACATGGCTGAAATGGAAGAAGCTGTTGTTGAAATAGAAAATAATGAACAAGTGGCTTTGAAGAGCTTGGATCGAAAACAATTCAAAGAAGTGGGTTGGTCACTTTCAGCAATGTTCACAATTGACTATAACATTATTTTTCAGAAACTTTTTGGGATGACAAAGTCTCAAAACCAACCTCTGAATAGATATGAAAAACTAAGAGAGAAGATAATTACAACATTGTCACAGGCATTTGAGGAGTACCTTATTGAACCTAAGTCTTTCTATTTCCATGAGATATTTTTTTTTAATAACATTTCCATACAGAGCAACATTATAGGTTCCCATAGATCTGCTATCCATAATGCTCTGAATGATCCACAGTATTATTTACAGGTAGATATATATGGTGTTCTCAAAGCTGAGGCATGTTTTTTATCTCTCAGCACTCTCAGTATTTCTAGTGGCATTGAAAAAAAAAATAGGGATATTTTTAAATCTTCATAGAAAGAAGACAATATCCTTAACTACACTCAGTTCCAAAAAAAGTGATGCACTTAATATTTGACCTATCATCTTAAAAAAAAACTAGGCCGATTTTTTATTATTTGTTGGTAGGTAATGCATTTGTCTTGAAAAGAAAAAAATAAAGAGGTGACAATTTTTTCAAAGCCTCCTTGATCGTGGTGGAATAACTCGAACCATGAGTTATTCTTAATTTTTGACTCACCCTGTGTGTTAATTGAGTAATGGCATAGACAGTGCTTACACCCTATAAGAAAGAGGCTTCTTTTGTGCGACCATTTTGTTTCATTCATTGATTTATCTCTAAAATTTTCCGAATTACAGCTTTTTTGTTGATACCTTACGCTTATCCCACAAATTAAATGAATTGAGAGTACTCAAAATTGATTGGGTTGTACTCTGGTAGGATCACATTGTCTTTAAAAAAACAAATGCCGTTGCCATAACAACTAATTTGTTGTATGCCTCCATATTTGACCATTTGTCGTTGTGTCATTAATTAAGTGTCTTGTTTTATTGACTGAAATTACATAAAATGCCTCAAATAAATCCTGAACATGTAGCAAGATTAGTTGCGTTAGTAAACGATGGGCGTAGTAAACGTTACGCCGCTCGTGCAGTGGGAGTTCATGAAGCAACTGCTCGTAGAGCAATCCGCAAGTACGAACAAACAGGAAGCACCGCTCGGAGGGTCGGTTCTGGTCGCCCCCGAAAAAGTTCTCCAAGAGATGATCGCTTCTTGAGATTGCGGATTTTACGGAATCGATCAAATACTGCGGTTAATGTTCAGCAAGATCGTCGCCAAATTCGTGATGTTGCAGTAAGTAAGCAGACGGTATGTAGACGTCTATAAGAAGTTAATTTAAAAGCTAGGAGACCTGCAAAAGGTCCCAAATTATTGCCCGAACATCGTGCTGCTAGAAGAAATTTTGTTGAAAATTATGGACAGTGGAAAATTCCTGAATGGTCGAATGTCTTGTTTACGGATGAGTCAAGGTTTTGCCTTAACATGGTGGATGGAAGAAAAAGCGTGTGGAGAAGAACTGGTGAACGGTTCAATCAAAATTTAATAACAGAATGCGAAAGTTTTAATGGTGGGTCCGTTATGGTGTGGGGAGAGATTTCAATGAATGGAAAGACACCCCTTCATGTTTTTCCGGTGAGACAGTCGATGAATGCCCAAATTTACATTGACATTTTAGAGCAGTATGTCTTATCTTATGCAGAGTTAGTGGGCAATAATTTTATATTGATGCAGGATAATGCCCGACCACACACCGCAGCAATAGTGCGAAACTTCTTAGAAGCTACTGGTATTATCACATTACAATGGCCTGCGAGAAGCCCCGATATGAATCCTATAGAACATTTGTGGGATGAATTAGGGAGAAGGGTACGTTCTCGCGAGAGGTCTCCGGAAAGTCTCGCAGAAATGGCAGATGCATTAGTGGAAGAATGGGATCGTATACCAATGGAAACGATAAGCAACCTAATTTCCAGTATGCCTCATAGATAAGAAGTTCTTTGAGTTGCCAGAGGAGGCAATACACGGTATTAAGCAGTCATCCCAATTTATAATGTTGTGTTTAATAAAAATGTTTTTTAAAATTATTGGTATCAGTTTATTTCATTAGAAAATTGTTTCTCGATAAATTCAGAAAGTTGGTAATCTGCAAGGATTCAGCAAATAAAGCTTTAATTCGGAAAAGAAGCCTCTTTCGTATAGGATGTGAGCACTTTCTTTGCCATTACTCAATTAACACACAGGGTGAGTCAAAAATTAAGAATAAATCATGGTTCGAGTTATTCCACCACCATCAAGGAGACTTTGAAAAAATTGTCACCTCTTTATTTTTTTTAAAGACAAATGCATTAACTACCAACAAATAAAAAAAAATCGGCCTACTATTTTTTTTTAAGAAGATATAGGTCAAATATCAAGTGCGTCACTTTTTTGGAACTGAGTGTATTTTCAATCAGTTGATGAATGCCTCAAAGAAAAATTCTATGAAGCTGACAAAAATTTTCTCAAAAAAGGTATAGCAGAATTACCAAGTGAATCTCATATTTTTAGTGTGATTGCTGCACCATACCCAATTCTAGTGTGATAAAACACACTATGCCTGATATTTGCATAGCTTATAAACTACATTTGGAGTGTGGAAAGATAATCAACTTATATGACTGGTTGCAAGCATTTTTGAGTATTGTAGATCCCATAGAAATTGATGATGAAACAAAGAGGATTGTCAGTCCAGAGTTACAGTATCCTTTTTGATAGTTGCCATAAAACTAAATCTCAAGCTAAGCAATCTACTTGATTGAATTTATTCATGTTATTCAGATTTTGAGTAATCTTTCCTATTACAAAAATAGAGCTCGTTTCACACAATGTGTGGCAGAACTGGAGTACTTGGGGTTCATAAAAAGTACCAAAAGAAAAGCTGACCATGTTGCGAGACTGACTTGGGGTGGTTAATTTTGTTTTACTCTATCAATTCATGTTGTTTGGAAGGAATATATTTCAAGTTTTGCATTAAATAAAATGATAACTGTTCTTAGAAAACAATTTTATTAGCACTAAGATACATGATATTCTCAATGGTCCACATTCGTTGTGATATTGTAAAAGTTCATATTGCACATAGAGCTGTTGAAGCTGAAATTGAATTTCAGCAAAGTTCAAACAGTGGATGCAGTTAAAACTTGATTTATCAAAAATACAGGTCATGATCAATGGTTTCAAATTGTTTTCAAAAGAATATAACAAGAAATATAAATTTTATTTGTATATTATACCTATTATAAAATAATACAATAAAATTAATAATTATCAACAAGATGACTGAAAATCATGATTGGTTCTCTGTGATTTTCTCCATAATATAGCTTCGAGATATATAAAAAATGTTTCCTCTTACACAACATAATTATTCGAGAGATAAATAACCATAACTTCTCACTGGATCAATACCTACTGTATAAATATTTTGAAGTGATTGTGAAGTATACAGTGCATTATTCATTCTGCCACATCAGGTTTATTCCATCAAAATTCAATATCAATAATCACAGAATGTTAAACAATTTATCTTTTGTTACTGAAACAATTATTTGCAAAAAATTGCATACATTTTTCCACAAGAGCACAATTTTGTAAGTATGAATTGCCATAATAAGAAATATGTATGGTATGTTATAGGATTGGAATATAAAAATAGAAAATAATACAAATCAAATAGGTAATTCAAAATAATAAAATGAGGGTTATTAATAAAAAAAGGAAAATAATCATGTACATAACAGAGAAATAGCCTCTCTCATTGTACTATAAATCAATTATAAAACACTAATAAAATAATTCTGGTATAAGTCAATAATCAGTGGAAATAAGAATTCAGGCCATATCAAAAACACTTGAATACTGGCAATGATTGGTGAATCTTCGGTTTTTCAATCACAAGTATAACATACAATTTTTGTCTGATATTTCCTAGATTTCTATTTCCACAATATAAAATATTTAAATGCCCAAAAATATGGCAAATCATCATGCCAAAGCAAATAGATAACAACTGGTAGGTATTGTAGCATTTTGCAGAATTTTTTTGTGAAATCCGAGCGGAATTTATCGTGTACAAGGTGATCCAAGGCGTGAAATACTCTAAAAATCCCTAATATTGGGTGTTGGATAAGGTTGTCGTTTGCTTATTGATCACTCTTTCTCCCTGAGCTAGTTGGCCGCTCATCATCGCCCTGTATTTGAGGAAAGCGTCTATACCATACAAGACCATACCACAAAATCCAAAGAACTAGAACGAAATAGATAACAAATTTCAATCGTGCGGTTTTTCAGTTATCCCTACAGATACAGAGTGATTGACTATGGACTTCACAACAACGAAAACAGATATTCAAACCTTGGAAAGAGCAACTTGAATGAGATTTAGCAAATTGAAGACAACTAACTTTCCTCAAAGGCTTGAATTGTTGTGAAAATAACGGGAGAGTTTTCAAACATTTGATTAGAACATTTTTATATCAAAATTAATTTTACCAATATTTTTGTCAACTATGATAGAATATATGAAAAATATACAATTTCGGGATCAGAAGTTGAGATAAAATACTATATTTGCATGCGCTCTATATGAAATGAAGGCAGGGCCCGTCTTTTCAGATCATGAATCCGAACAATAGTCGGAACGTTGGTGAGACGAAATTTATATGACTGAAAATCATGATTGGTTCTCTGTGATTTTCTCCATAATATATATTCGAGATATATAAAAAATGTTTCCTCTTGCACAACATAATTATGTGTAGAGATAAATAACCGGAGACTAGCCTCAGCTACTTATTGGGGAAGTATGCCTCAGTTTTCCAAGCAGAGGTGTACGCAATTCTCCAATGTGCGGAAGAAAATAACAGGAGAGCTGTGGAAAAAAAGCATATCCGTATTATGTCAGACAGTCAAGCGGCACTCAAGGCAATAGAAAGCCAGGAAGTGACATCTTGACTGGTATGGGATTGCAAGAGGAAACTGAGAAGTCTGGCAGACCGGAACTGCGTCAAGCTAATCTAGGTGCCAGGTCATCAGGGGATCGCTGGCAATGAGAAGGCTGACGAACTTGCAAGAAGAGTCGGACAACGAGCCAGATCCGGGACAGACTCTTGGAGTACCAAAACGTACAGCACGAGTGTCAGTTAAAGACTGGATTCAGGCAAAACATAAGAGCTACTGGGAAAACATCCCAAGAAACAGACATGGGAAACAATACATTAAGGAACCAAGTCAAAAACGAACTGTAGACTTGCCGAACTTGAACAGAGCACAGATAAAAACTGTTACGGGACTCATGACTGGCCATGCGACAGTAAAGGAGCAACTCGCCAGAATGGGACTGTACAATGGCGACCCAAGCTGCAGACTATGTGGCAAGGAACCAGAAACAGTAGCACATATATACTGTGCCGATGTGAGGCATTGGACCGCAGAAGACAGAAGATCTTTGGGCAACCAGTTGGCGAACCAGAAGTATTCAACTCACATCCAGTGAAGGATTTGTACAGACTTGTTCAAGGTACAGAGATAATGGAGTGGGCACAATAAAGAACTACTAGGTAAGATACAATGGGCCACCATAGGCCGGAGACATTGGTCAGACGAGCCTACAAACGGGGTGGAGTTTTTAGTGTGTAAACCCTGGCTAGAGTCAGGGGAGTCCCGCACTATATGGGGGACTGGACACCTCGACAAAAAAAAAATAACCATAACTTTTCACTGGATCAATATACCTACTGTATAAATATTTTGAAGTGATTGTGAAGTATACAGTGCATTATTCATTCTGCCACATCAGGTTTATTCCATCAAAATTCAATATCAACAATCACAGAATGTTCAACAATCTATCTTTTGTTACTGAAAAAATAATTTGTAAAAAATTGCATGCAACAATAGTCGGAACGTTGGTGAGACGAAATGTATATGTTCATTGTATTTCAAGTTTAACTTCTCGATGGTGATAAGAATGAGTGACAGTTGTCCGACCAGCCCTAATTACACTAAGACTAATGTCTGTAGTGCAGTTATGCCCGTACTCAATTCTGTCTGAATGTGAATAGCCAGGAACGGATTTGGAATTATTAAGAGATTAAGCTTTTGTGATCTGGGTATGGTAGAATCAATAGAATTTGGTAACATTAGTAAATAGGTATTGAGAAGTATAGGATTGTTACACTACATTAACTATTCCAAATGAAACTATATTATAGCTTCATCAGGTACATATTCCAACAGTCATCAATCTCTCATTGGTCTTCGTCGAATGCAGATGATGAATCTCCATTTATATTAATTATAATGGGTAATATTTGGCAATCTAATCGGGCCAATTTCCAGTCCCTCTCTGTTAATCTACCTGGTTTTGAAAAGAAGTACCTCTAATCGGCCACCCTTCTCTGGTATAATCAATTCCTCCATAACGTTAATCATAGTTTAAGTATCTTAGTTATAATTCAAACAAGTGGAAATCGTTTGGACGTATATGTTGTGTCTCACCAACGTTTTATGGCGGATTTTGCCTTCCGAAAATGTCCCGACTTTATATAGGCGTAATATGTTCTACTTACTCCTGCTGCCACATAAGCCTCAATGTAGAAGGAAATGGCCAAAGATGCGGCGATGAGGTATAGGCATGTCCAAATGGCACAGAAACCAAGCTCAATTTTGATCCAGGGTATTCTATAGGACTTTTCTATCAGGTGAAACAAGTAGAATACTAGGATAATCCCGGTAAACCAGAAAGCAGTCATTGATACAGTATTGAAGTAAGTCCCTCTGGATGCACCAGCATGATATCCACTGGCCTCTATGCATATAAATCCCAGAATATTTATAACCTAGAATATTGAGAAAGAAAACAATTATTATTAGGCCTTTATATTGAAGGCTTAGATCTCCTAATCCTAAACCATAATCTATATCAATGTGTTTTGATTTGTATTAAGCTAAAATATATATACAGGGTGTTACAAATTCGTGACTAGGCATGAGGATCTTGGTAACCTTGAAAGATACAGTGTTAAATTAGGACAAAGTTTTTTTTTATCGCTTGGAGCGCACGAAAGGAAATCCCTATAATGCTGCTTTAAAAATGGTAGAAATATCCGACGTTTCTTCTTTCGAGCGGCCATCAACTTTACTTTTTCAAATAGTAAATAAATGCTTAAACGGAAACGGATATATTTTTGAGCATTTACTATGAAAGAAAACTTAATGTTCGGAAATTATTTGTTTGATCACATTGTGTTTTCATTAAATAATACACAGTTATTTAATTTTCATTTTTGGTTTGGTATAACTAATAATGCATTTTGAATAAGAGCAATTCAATTATGTAGCAGGTACTTCGCACTGAATCATGTGTTAGACAAATACAAATTAATACCAAAAACGCTGTGTTAGACAAAGATGAGTATCTCCATACCTTGTTTAAACAATTTTTTCATTGAAGTAAACATTTTAAGTAATGTTTTGATACACCATCATATCAAGAAGATCAAAAACTATGGAAACATTAAATGAAAAAATCCAGGTCCGCATTTCAGCAATGATGTTGATGATGGCCGCTGGAAGAAAAAACGCTGCGTTTCCAATTTGACAATTCCATTTTGTAGAGGAGGAAAAGTGGCAATGCTGAAGTGACATGCATTTTGAAATATCTATAAAAGATTTTGCATATTTCCCTTTTTTTCGGATATCTCCGGAAATAATTGACTTTTTTTCAATTTCAAAGCAGCATTTTGTTGAGCAAAAAATGGTGCAACTTTGCCCTAATTTAACCTACTCTGTATCTCTTGAGGTTACAAGCCATATGATGCATAATTTTACATGTGGCTATAGATAGCAGAGTCATACAGTGTGTGGCGCGATATACATGGTCCTACCTTAGAACTATGCCACTAGATGGCAATAACATGACTACATCATCATATTGTAATACCATTCATCTGTGAATTAAAAAATGAATTGATACCAATACCTAGGGAATATAAATGAAACCCATGGCATGAACGAACAATGAATTTGAAAGAGGAAAATATCTATTCAAATTGATGCCTATTAGGTAAATTAAGTATTCTTCCTGCTGTATGAAAAATTTCAAAAAACTGTTTGGGAATACAAAACAACAATATAATTTCATGTATGACATTGAAATGATCATTTTAGATAATTGAAACTTATAATAGGTATTTCTCAATTTGAGGTACTTACCACTTGTGCACATTTCAACATACCAGGAATAGTTCTTAAATAAGAAGGATCAAATCTCAAAGTGGTTTGAACAGTGGTATTTGTAGTTTGTACAGTAGTTGTTGTGGTGTGTTGTCCTGGGAATCCTGGATCGGCCATTTTAACCAATTAACCTAAAAAATATAACTACTTAAAATACAGAATTGTAGATACCAAAATAATGTAGGTTCATTGAAGTAAACTTTGTAAGAAAACTGAATAGGTTGTTTTTTGTGGACAAATCAATGAGGAACTTTTTTAGGAAATCAGATTGTATCCAGAGATTTTCATACTCGTTTTTATTTTTAAGTTGATGGTATTTGTTAAACATAAATCTGGAAATAACACTTGAATTTCTTAGACAAGCTACAAAAAGAAAACAAACAACTGTATTGTCTCAGAAACTAAAACTTACAAGTCAGCCAGGCCGTCCCTGTTCAATTATAATCTTCTAACAAATAACAGTTCTAACATCAGATGAGGGTGTTTTGACTGAATTTGTGTTGTTAGTAGCAATAGGGCTAATAGGAGTAGCTTGTAGAAAAATCAACTACTTGGACAAATTTCGTACTTTTCCAAGAATAGAATAGATCAAAGTTAGTAGATGAGAAATAGATATACATCTGACTCATTATTTAAACAACTACCTGTTTACGTCACTTTAGGTACCTTTAGTAGGTAGGTACCTAATCATCAAACTGATTAAAATAAACCCGTTAAGTAAATATTGATATTTTTGAATAAATAGAAAGCCCAGATGGACAGGTCAAGGATACCTATTCAATTGATTTTAGGGCTATTCAATTAATATCAAAGTTGATATCAAAGCAGGTCATTCAATTTGTGTCCAGTTTCTCAAAGCCAACTGGGAGCCCAATTGAAATAGCTACCCATATACTAAAAATTCTAAAAATCTAAAATTTAGTACCTTTATTTACCTTTGGATGTCCACTTCGCTTTAATAATGATAAAGGGGCCACTGGGCATCCACAGATGTAGACTAGTATATTTGGAATGCTTGAGGGGGCGTCTGACACCATTCACTATTATCGTCTATGATTCAATGACCATCAGTCAGCAGAAACAATCCTGGGCCCAAACACGAGAACGGGCCTGTTACGTTTTGCGCAATCCATTTGGCAGTGGCTAGATGTATTTCGCCGTGAAAATAAACAAGTAGTGGCAATATTACTACACCTGCCTAATATACAGGGTGCTAATTAATTAAGTGCCGGGTGATTTTAAGGAGAAAAGTATCAACATAAGTCCTAAACCTCTCAGTTTTTGAGCTACAGGGTGTTAAAATCAGTGGCGAACAGTTTCAATCTGAACATTTCAATATATATCAGGCCTATACGACGTTTTATATCACTGGTAAAAGTGAAAAATGATGTTTGTCCCAAAATAAAATGTTTTCCACTCATAGTGGGTGCCTATACTATATTTTTCAATGCCCTGAAGAAAAAACTTTTTTGGTTTGCATTTTTTTTAAGCGAAAACGGTACGTCCTATGAAAGTATATAAAGTCTAGGAACCATATTTGCTCCAAAAATCCAAAATGAATGGGGATTTCAAGAATAATTTTGGTTTTCAGAAAAAGATGTGTACAAAATTTAAAATTATAACACCATGTAGCTCAATAACTAAGAGGTTTAGGACATTATTATGTTGATATAACCTTTTCTCAATTATTGATTAACACCCTGTATCTTTGCTAATATTATGACGTATGTCGTGACGTAAAGATTTGAATTTCCTTTTTTATGATAAAATTATTTCATCATATATAGATATTCACGAACTCAAAGTGGATTTCAATCATCAGAAAGACTATATCATTTTGAGTATGATCAGGCGCCATATATAAAATGTCCCAAAATTGCTGGGACACAGAGACACATAAAAAAACATGAAATGAGTGAAACAAATTGGATGAAATTTGCCAAAGTGCATTTCAGAATATATATAACCCTTGCTTCAATAATCAAAGATACCTGAAAGAGATTATTGTAGAAGGGTTGAAACCACCCTCACCCTCTGACATTTTATTTTGGAAAATTCTTAGGGGTCGTAATAGGGTTCACAATATTTTTGAACGAGATGATGATTAATTATCTTCATTTTGTTACTCTTGTGAAAATTTCATATTCCGCATACTTGGTTCCTAAGGAAAAAATGTTTTTTATAAAATTAGATATTCCTAGTAAAAGTTTGATAAAATTATATACAATAATAATTAGTCTAAACTTAACCATTATTTTCCCTGTATTCTCTGATCATCTCATAATGTCATCTGGATGAATATAGTCGTAAGTTACAAATTTCCACCAAGTACCTACTATTGACAGGACATCTGATATCATTTAAAATCTGCCTACTTCTGCATCTGTATAAATGTGAAGCAGACATTTTGAGCAATTTTTATTCTGCTTTCAATATACATGTTCATGAAGATGATTTAATCTTCAACATATTTATACACTTCATTGACTAACTGATAATATGGTGAATACATTACTAGGATCAACAAATTCCTCATCTGTATCTAAGACCGGATCTTCTTCCTTTACCACTTCAGATTCAATCTTCTTTCTCTTTTTTCTCTTCTTTTTTGGATGGTCTGCACAAAAATCTTCTGATATAAAGTCCCTGAGCTTATTAATGATCAAACCAAAGCTATGCAGGAAAATAGGAGAGTCCTGGAATAATATTCTTATGTACTCCTGCAAATTAGGCCGTTTACTCAGGTTCCTAGTCATGTTGTAGACAAAAGTACAATTCAGACATTCTGAAACTAATAGACTTGGTAATGGTGAATTCATAAGAGTATTCAGTTGCCCTATATGCAACAGACAACTCTGAAACTGGGATATCATGTGCACAAGAGACCTATCAAATGATTTTACATTCATAGCAGTTTTATCATCCATTGTAAAATAGGGAATCAGTACATTCATGGTAGATTTGCAGTCTTCATATGACAAACTGTTCAAAGACCCTCTGATGGTACTTTCTAAATTTTGTGCATTGAAATCAGAAGTGACTGATTTGGTGCTGAATTTTTTTAAAAATGCTTTAGCACATCTGTGGACACCAAGTTTTTTATCAATATGGCTCAGAACATATTTTGAAATCAACAAAGAACATATTAGAGGCCAGCTGATCCCAGATTTATCTTTTAGGTATATAAGAGTTACAATGTAAAGTTGCCAACTATCAGGGAATTCATGTATGTTGACTTTGAGATCTTCCTGGACACCTAATATTTGAAAAAATATCCCTTTCCTGACGTCAATATTCAAAATTTGAATTTCATTCAAGTTTGGCAGATTCAAGGGACATATAGGAACATTCTGCTTTCTCACTTGTGACCCTCCAACTCTCCCAAAACAAACCAAATGTTTCTCTGAGTTTGTGAGAATTTTATGGATAGCACTCAAAATATCAAAGCTTATCATATGTGAATTTTCTAAGGCACTATCTTCAACCTGAGGCACACAATAGTATTTATTTTGTAATAGAATATCCATGAAACTGGCTGGGTATTCACATGTTCGAAATTTCTCCTGAAACACTGGTATAACTGCATTCAGAGGTTTTCTTGTGTCAATGAACAAAGTTTCATCATGGTCATACACTTCATCATCAGACTCAGAATGAGATTTTTCTTCATCATCTGAGACAGGACTTTCTTCATCAGACTTTGAGTTTTCTTCATCACAATCTGAGTTTTGATCATCTTCAGGTGAAGATTCAAGATTTAACACATCAATCTGGTTTGATTTATTATCACTATCATTAGGCTTGGTGTTTGGTGCTGTTAAACCTAAATACTTGAGGTATTTACTATCAGTACAATTATATCCCTCAATGGCAATTTTAATTTTTTTCATGATGATCCATCTCCTTCTCTTTTTATATCTTGTTAACACTTTGTGAATGGCAGTTTGGATATTTTCATTTTGAAGCCACACTAACAATGACTTGATTCTTTTTTGTCCCTCATTCATAGATCCACTACATTTCTGTATTTTCAAGTTGTTATAAAATAATGAGAATACACCTCTCTTAACATAATCATTGCCTAAAAGTACAGCCAATATGGGTAATACACTTTTCTTCAATCCAGGAAAGGATTCAAGAAATTTCTCTACTCTATATACTTCACAAGGAATATATGTATAGGGTAAGGAATCACCTTTTACCTTTCCTCTTTTCACAGCCATCTCCATAGTGGCAAAAGGAATGTAAAGTACATCAAATATAAAGAAATCTGAATCATAACTCAGAATAGGACAATTCAATATCCTGGCTATGCTTGCAATTTCTGTATCTCCCTCAAAGTCACACCTCACTGTCTTAATGCCCATCTTAATGATGACTTCCTGGAACACTGGTCTAAGCATCAGTGGAAAAACAGATATTGATCCTTCTGCCACCCCATTCAGAGAGTCAGCTGATTTGATTTTGTTCTTCATTCGACTGATAACAGTGGCTACTTTTTTCGTTTCATATCCACCATCAAAGACCACCAGAGGGGTGATATTACTGGAGGCCAACAATTGGAAGAACTTTTGTATGGCATATGCATATTTGTCATAATCTCCTCCGAAACAGTCATTGGACTCCGTGTGCCATCTGTAAAGCTGGCAGGCCACTGCATTTCCATCAATCACCAGATCTGTATCATGGAGTTCATACTTTTCCATGTACTGATGAGATCTGGACTGAATGAAAGTTGTGAGGCCTCGTATGCCCATTCTTACTGAAAGACTGGATAAAAGCAAAGAGGATAAAAGTGATGAATAATATAAAATATCCTATATAAAATCTAAGTTTCTATTATTTATTACTTCACATAATAAAATATAAAATAACAAATATAAAAGAAAGAACTGAAAGAACTCAAGTACTGGCTATTTGTCCGTCTGACGGGCCCTAAATAAAGCATGGCGCATGGCTATGGAAGTGTCTATTCACACGTAGTGCATAAATAGTCTTGGAGGTGCCTCAATTGCCAGCGCCGGCTACCGACAGAATAGCCAGCAAACCGGTTCCGCCACATCCATATACGTATTAATAATCAATACGGATAATTTCTATCTGTTTCCATAGCGAAACATGAAGCCGATTGTGTTACAGCGCCTCGCCCTCTAGATCACTAGGTTTACTATGTAGTACCGCTCTTTGTCGCCAGTTGGAGCCACAAATTTTAAAGGATTGACGTGTCAATCAAGAAAGGAAAATGTTTTATGCCCGTGTTCCGTGTCGCATCTCTCGTGTTCTGTGCTTCTGTCGTCATTACGCTTTTTTGTGCGCTAAGTAATGGACGCTATTACTAGTTTTTTCCTGAAAAAACTGTGAAATATCTGTGTTAAATATGCCCAAATCATCGAAAAGAAGCCGCGAACGTTCTCCGCTCAACAGCAGAGAAGTAAAACGATCGCGCCGTGAATTATTACTCGACCTAGAACGAGAAATTGCCGATATGAAGAAGAAGATGGAACAGGAGAGTCGCCGCCATTTGCAACGCTCAAGTCCAAGTTATGATCATGTCGATCATGAAGATGAAAGGTACCGAAGTGACACAAACCATGAGAGACCCCCATCCAAAAGATATTCGGAAAAATCATATGGACAGTCTCGTACCAGTTCTCCAGGCGACTCTCGAGGTGACCGTAAAAAGAAGTCATATACTTCTCCAAGGTCAGGTGTCCACAGTGGGTCACGTGCCCAGGACATGTCCCCAAGGTCTGACGTCCCAAACGGGTTACGAGCCCAGGACTATGTTACGAAGGACCGAACACATTGTCAACAGATCTCCAATACAAAAAGGCTACATGCCCAGGAGTCTGATTCACCGTCCCAACACAGAAGACCAAGTGTTGATTCAGATTCACAGATACTAGATGTTTCAGATGAGGATAATGAACCCTTGTTGAACAATGAACATCTTGGATTGGGTTCTCCTCTCTCACAACCTGGCGATCAGGAAAGTCAGGTTGATGATGATGAAATTCTAGAATTGCTAGGAGAGAAAAAAGATACCCTAAAAACCTTTGAATTACATCCAATTATATGTAATAGGTGGAAAACTATAATTAGTAAGGGGTTAGGAAAAGATGAGAGATCAAAACTCATAGAAAAATATGGACCTCCCTCTAACTTACCAACACTCATAGCACCCAAAGTTAACGAAGAAATTGTAACTGCTATTCCAGAGATGATTATCAAAAAGGATAGTTTTCACATCAACAGACAAAACCAATTAGGACGAGGAATTGCTGCACTGGGTATGACCCTTAACTTGATATTGAAAACACAAAATCAAACTAATAATTCTGAATCTCAGAAACAGGCCATAAGAGAACTAAGTGAGGCAGGAAAAATCCTTGCTGATTTGCATTATAGAATGTCTCTTACGAGGAGAGCTATAATAATTCCACATCTAAATAAAACTGTTAAAGCACTCACTAGTGCATCAGCTGTTGGTGAACACCTATTTGACTCTGACCTGGGAGAAAAAATTAAAGCAGCCAGAGCAGTAGAAAAGTCCAGTAGAGATTTCAAGAAGCCATATACAGTAAATAATATGCCTACAAATGTAGGACCTAAAAGTAAAGTAATCACACATTCTTTAAACTTCCGAGGCCCGTCGAGGTTCAGGAGGGATCATCGACAGGAGGGCCAGAGACCTCTGCAGAGAAGGAGTCAACAGCAGAGCAGGTTTCGATCCTAAAGGTAGGAAAAATTGCAGGTGGACTCAGGAAACATTTTGGGATGTGGAAGGATATAGGTGCTACGAGCACAGTCCTGAATTATATTAAAGGTTATAAAATTCCCTTCTTGAAAAAACCTAAATCTACATGCTACATGCCAAAAGACAAGAAGAAAGACAAATCTTTAATTCTGGCAATAACTGATTTAGTTAGCTTAGGAGCAGTAAAAAAGTGTATTGGAATGAAAGATCAATTTTTGTCTCACTATTTCTTGGTAAATAAGCCAAATGGTAAAAAACGTTTCATTCTTAACCTCAAAAAATTGAATAAATTTATTAACCCCCCACATTTTAAAATGGAGGACACCAGAACTGTTATGAAACTTATTCAAAACGAATCATACATGGCAACTATAGATCTTAAGGATGCCTATTTTTCAATTCCAATTGATAGGGACTATAGAAAATATTTAAGATTCAAGTTTAACCATACCCTTTATGAATTCACAGCCTTACCATTTGGCCTCTCCTCAGCACCATATGTTTTTACTAAAGTGATGAGGCCAGTCTTAGCTAAACTTAGACAGAAAGACATTTCCTGTGTGTCATATTTGGATGATATTTGGATAACTTCAGAAACCTCAGAAAAATGCAAGGAAGCAGTTCACTGTACGGTTATGCTTTTGAGTTCTTTAGGCTTTACTATCAATGAAGACAAGAGTCAACTCAATCCAGCACAAAGATGTACATTTCTGGGTTTCATATTTGATTCAGTAGAAATGACTTTGGAACTTACACAAGAAAAAAGAACAAAAATTTATAACTCAATTCTTAGAATTCAGTCAAAGAAATATGTAAAAATTAGGGAATTTGCACAATTCATAGGATTAATTGTATCAGCTTGCCCTGCTGTACAATATGGTAAAGTTTATACAAAAACTTTAGAAAGAGAGAAGTATTTGGCCTTGAAACAATCTAACCAGAATTATAACTGTGCTATGAAAATAACCGAGTCTATCAAAGGTGACTTAGAATGGTGGAAAAAATCAGTTTTGATTTCCAAAAATAAAATAATTAAAGACCATTTTGATATTGAAATATTTTCAGATGCTTCAAAAACAGGGTGGGGGGTATATTGTCAAGGACAAAACACCTATGGTTGGTGGAAATTATCTGAAATCACTCACCATATAAACTACTTAGAGCTAAAAGCTATATTTTATGCTTTGAAATGTTATGCCAGAGATCTGAGATCCTGCAATATACTGTTGAGAGTAGATAATACTACAGCTTTGAGTTACATTAATAAAATGGGTAGTGTTCAAAACGTAAAACTCAATAGCCTCTCCAAAAAGATTTGGCAGTGGTGTGAGGATCGAGATCTATGGCTCCATGCTTCATATGTTCAGTCAAAAGAAAACAAAGCTGATGAGAGTTCTAGAAAAATATCTACTGAGACTGAATGGGAACTATCAGAGGATGCCTATGGTAATATTATTGTTCATCTTGGTAAACCTGATATTGATTTATTTGCCTCAAAAGTCAATGCAAAATGCAAAAAATACTTATCATGGCATCCAGACCCTGATTCTTGGGCGGTTGACGCCTTCACTGTCTCCTGGAAAAAATTTAATTTTTATGCATTTCCACCCTTCTCCTTGGTTTTGCGTACACTCAACAAAATTATTTCAGACAAGGTTGACGGTATTGTGGTTGTACCTTACTGGCCTACACAACCATGGTACCCTTTATTTAAGAAACTTTTAATATCAGAATTGGTTTATTTGGGACCAAAAATTGACTTATTATCTTCTCCTTTCAGTTCATCACACCCAATGAGTCACTCCCTTATCCTGGTTGCCGGCAAATTGTCAGGGAGGCTTTCTTAAGCAAAGGATACCCAGAAGAAACAGTCGAAACATCATTAGAATCTCTATCAGCAGCTACCATGAAGCAGTACAACACGACCTTCAACTTATGGTGGCTATTTTGTTGCAGAAACAAAATTAGTCCTTATAATGCAGGAGTTTCAGATGTGTTGATTTTCTTACAAGAACAATTAGATTCAAAAAACTACTCCTATGGTATGTTTAACCAACACCGGTCTGCTCTTGCACTCATCTTACCTGGTGAAATTGGACAAAATATTCAGATAAGACGTTTCTTAAGAGGAGTACGAAGGTCACGTCCACCTAAACCCAAATACCACATCACTTGGGATCCTCAAATAGTTTTAAGGTATATAGATTCCATGGGTCCTAACCAAAGTTTGGACATATTGAATCTATCGAAAAAACTTGCTACTTTGATAGCACTGGCATCTGGTCAGAGAATTCAAACAATCCATTTAATGAACATTCAAAACATAATTTTTGATAGAGAGGGGTCTCATGTGTTTATTGATGACCCAATTAAGACAACACCAACCAGTGCATTTCAACCTTACATGGAATTTCCCTATTTCCACCAAACACCAAATTTGTGTGTAACATCTACACTACTTAATTACATAGAAAGAACTGCAAACAGTAGATCAGAGCATGATAAATATCTCTTTATAACTTCAAAGGCACCTTTCGTTCAAGCAACTAGAGCAACTATTGGACGCTGGATAGTTCAGGTATTAAAGTCAGCTGGAGTAAATACGGAAATATTTTCTGCACACTCTACTAGACATGCCGCTACTTCGGCTGCCTACCGTAAAGGTGTCTCCTATGATGTTATTAGGAAAGCTGCAGGATGGTCTGAACATTCAACGACCTTTGCAAGGTTTTACAAAAGACCTCTGGAACCTCAGTATAATTTCAATAAGATTGTATTCCAAAACTGAACTTGAATGACTAATTTATTATTCGATTGGAACATAATGTGTTACTAGAATAATAAAATGTTTACTATCCTTGCAATATTTGTATCTTTAAAAGTCTACATAGTAAACCTAGTGATCTAGAGGGCGAGGCGCTGTAACACAATTGAACGATCAAACGAACTTGTGAAGTTCGATCGTAATTGTGTAAAGCGCCTCGCCCGAATAGATCACGT